GGGTTAAAGTTGGGCACAGGTTGACAGATATTGAGGGGTACTGTTAACCTTGTCATCCCTCACTTGGACGGACAAATTACACAAATTGACAAAATGGGCCGGCTGATGAGGCTAATGCATATATCAACGGCCACTCAAATCGATCCTAATGATTGGAAACCTGTTGTAGCCAAACCAAATGAAACATCAAGTCCCTTAGTAACAACATCAGATAAAACTGAATTGCAACAGCTAGAGTTCGCTAGTTCAAAGGAGAGAGAGAACTGGCAGGCAATTCAATCTCTAATACAAGGACATAAATTGGTTTTACTTCCACAAGTTTATGAGTTATTTACACCAGACTCAGTCAGAGAAAATAAAAACAATCTCTCTGACAATGACAATGAAAACAATGGAGATGAGGATGACTCATTTATACTCACAACAGAATCTATCTTAGACTCCCAGAAAGACCATTCGCCAGGAGAAATACCACTGGTGAGGTTACCGGACAAAAATCCGTCTTGTCTCTGTTGTAAGACCAAAATAACAGGAGTACAGAGACTCATAGAACACCCTCTTTGATCACATGGAAAAAGAAAGATCATTTTCCAATGTATAAAATGTGGTCTGCAGAGTGATAATTATCGTTCTATTGTTTGTCACTATCCATTGTGCAAAGGTGCTAATGAAGTGGGTCCATCTGGAGATTGGACTTGTGAGGAATGTGGGAGGAGCTTTCAATCAAAAATAGGCCTGGGACAGCATAAAAGGCTGAGTCACCCAGAAACCAGAAATCAGAAAAGGATTGCTGCTACTCGCCCTTAAGTGAGAGCAGCTTGGGAGTCATCTCGCAAGTGCTGGTCAAAAGAGGAGGAAGAACTATTGGAAAAATTGGTGAAACAATACGAGGGAGAGAGATATATTAATAAATTAATCACTGAACATATTCCATATAAGACAATTAAACAAATCAGTGACAAAAAGCAATATATGAATCCTGTACAAAAAGAAAGGGAAGATCAGGAAGTGTATGTACAGGTAGAGAAAAGAAAGAAATATCCAACAAACATAGAAAAATCGAGCCCGGATCAGTTGAGAACACATTACGTGGCAATGATTACGAAAGGGATAAAATCAAGAAAGATGAATAACTACCCGAGGGCATTCCGAAAGATAGTTGAGGTGAGAACAGACACCCACATATTAGTTAATGATACAACGAAAGAATGGTATGGACACCTCTAGGCCAGGTATCAAATAGAAAAAACATCAAATGTGAACCCAAAAAGAGGCAAAACCCAGGATATACAAAGTAAGAC